ACTGGTGTCGTGAGCTCTTGTCCATTTCTCCAAATCCCTCATCACACCATCCTTCCAGAGTAGATTCTCGGCAAGGTGTCGAGTACACCAACGATGGTGCAAAGGTGCATACCCCTCTATCTGCTCTTGCACGGCATTAAGTATGCCTTGGTGCCTATCAAATATGATGCCAACCTCCCTGCTAGGCCCAACCACATGTATCTAGACTAGTCTCAAGAACCATCCCCAACTGTCATTATTCTCCTTCTCAACCAAAGCAAATACCAAATGAACCAACTTGTTGTTCGTGTCATAGGATATGGCTATAAGAAGTGTGCCCTGTTATTTGCCAATCAAGAATGTACCATCAATGGAGAAGACATGACGACATTGCCTAAAGGCCTCTCGACACACTGAGGGAAGCACCGAAAGCACGGAAGAATATCGCCTCCCATCCTTCCATGCATTTGGTTTTGGGATGTACTCATAATGCATGCCTGGATTCACCGCTTTGATTGCATTGAAAAGTACTGGCAGAGTGGTAGCTGCTCATACCCATCCTCCCAGTCCCCATATATCATCTTCCACGCTCACGCTTAGCCCTCCAAGCTTTACCATAAGTTATCACATAACCTCCATACAATGCCTCAACGGTCCTGATAATTGTCCTAACCTTCATGTTGGGTTCTCCTGCAATATTCCCATCAACCGCTTGGCAATGAGGGTAGATGTCAACTATCGACGCTTGTTGGTCAGCACATGGTCAACATAATTGTGTGGCCCGACAACTTTTGTGATCTTCCATTTTCCGGTGACCTTTTGCTTCCTTGCCCAAACCTTCCATGGGCAGCGTTCCTTGTCACACACAAACTGTGTAACGGCACTCGATATGAATGCAAGACCTTGTAAGGTCTCTTTCAGTATCACTGCAAACGCTGCAACCACCTCTTCAATGCAGGGAGGTCCTTGAATACCCTCCCATTCTCAATTACCATGTTAGGGCCGGCCTCAGGAGCTTCTAGGAGCTCATCATCACGTCCTTCTGCACATGCCTGATCGGAATGAGCAAGATCGTTGAACTTGTGAACTCTTGGATCACAATGGCCGGGAAAGATACGTCTCAGCATCTCAACATCACTCTCTGTCAGCTCTCCAACAGGGCAATCATCATCAGAATCAAGAGCCCCTGCCATCTCATATGGCTCCGAATCATTCATAATTTCAACACTATTAGAGCCACAGAATCCATCTCCACAGTGCACTTGCACAGCAACAGGGGGCACATCCACATTGTCAGGAATGTCTCCTGCAACATAAGTAGAGAAATAAGGAAAGAATATAAGAAATAGATGTAAGGAAGGGGGTAAGCTCCCAATAACCATGCGGATAAGACACTTACTCGGATGATTCTGTGTCAAAGGGATCTCATGAGGAGGATCTGCCACAACAACATAAGTTTGACAAACATCTCCAACTACCTCATTAGGGGCAGATTGAGCATCGGGAACCATAGGTGCAACCTCCACATCCATATCAGGTTTTGGGATGGGAGGGTCGAAGTGTGCCTGCTGACCCATTGGTGGGGAAAACCCATGAGGGATGGGATCAACTAACACCCGACGCATAACCATGTCCAAACATTGCAGCTGGCTCTTCATAGCCGATCTCACATAGTTCTCCCACTGATCCGCACACCTAATTGGGATCATTCGCCTGAGGATGTTGGGAGGAGAACCTAGGTGCAGTACACCCTCAACTGCAATGCCATCATCATCATTGCCAAGGCAATGCAGCTCCTCCCGAGCCCTTGCAACCATCTCACTAAATGAAGGCCTATCATTGAATAGCATAGGCATGCTTTGCATATAAACAACCTCAACATATCCATAGCGATCGCATTCAACGGTGCCTCCATGATATATGGTCACTAGGTTGTCCATCTAGTTCAAACACATAACGAAACACATGTCCTTTAGTCCAAATTAGACGATAGATAGTACCTAACAAGTATTTTTAACTACAAACTAAGTAAATAAGATAATAACTACGTATATATATACAGTGTACTCACAAAATAGCTATGTCTATGTACCTATGTATCTATGTTTCTATCTATCTACATATCTAACTATATCTATGCACCTATGTATCTATGTTTCTATCTATCTACATATCTATCTCACTAGATCACTAACTAAATCAACTACCTGAGTCATCACATTAACTAGTAAATAACAATTAATCGAACTACTACATTACAATCAAAGCTAACTAAGCACCTACATTGCATATTAACAATTTTTACCTGGCGCGGCCGGGCGGCTCACAGAGGTCGGGGACGGCCGGTGCGGGCGCAGGGGCAGGCGGTGGCCATGGCCACGGGGGACGGCCATGACCATCGAGGGTGAGGGTGTGGCCGAGGACGACCGACGTAGGCGTGGGCACGTGGGCGGCGCGGGGGGTGACGGTGGCTGAGGGCACGGGCACGTGGGAGCGGGCATGGGTGCGGGTGGGGCGGCACGGGCACGCGGGCGCGCGAGCGTGGACGGTGCGGCGGCGGTGATGGCTCGGTAGAGAGAAAGAGAGAGGAAGAGAGAAAGGAACCTCGGGCCCATACGTAAGAGAGGGCTTGGCACCAGGATTGTTGGTGCCGAGCTCGGCGCCAACATCCACGGGCGCTGAGTTGGCTGCCATGTTAGCGTCCATGGCGCCCAACATGGCCCCGAGCTCAGGCGCCAAGAACGATGGCGCCAAGCTAAGGGTTCAGATTTTGAAATCGTACCTCAGGGGCATATTTGTGAAAAAATTCAAAAAAGGGCTATAAAATAAAAATTCGGCCCCTACTAGTCTAGGAACACGGAGCTCACACGATTCACCTTGTCACCAAACTCTCTGTTTGCCCATGTGCATCCCGCTCATGGGTGCCTGGCGGCGGCGTGGTGGCCCCTCCTTCATTTACGACAGCGACTCCTCTCGAGTCGCACTCTTCCCATTGTGCCTAACATCGGCACCTTCTATCGAGCCTCAGCCTCCACACCGGCTCTCTCTCTCCTTTCACACTCCACTCAGATGCGGTGGCCACCCATGTCGGCACCTCGCCATGGCCGTCACCCATAGCTCTGCTCAAATGCGGTGGTCGCCCATGGCCATCCCTGCACCATGGTCATTGCCCACGATCAGATTTGCTCAAATGCCCCAAGTCAGTGTGGCCCTCACCTGTCTCGCTCATCGCCGTCGTCTATCTTGACACATGAAGAAGACGAAGTGCAGATAAAGAAAGATGTTGTGGAAGTGGAACGGGTGTGTTTGCCAAAAAAAACAAGAACATTGGTGCACCCGAATCTAGCTGAATACTCCCTGCTGGGAATCTAGGATGATCCCATCCTTTGGTGTTTCAGACCAAACACTGGGATGGAGTGTGATCTTATCTCGTCCCTATCCCTTGCTTTTCTCGGTAATGCTCTGAACCAGGCATCCATCTGCCGGGACGCTCCGTTGTTGGGCCGCGATGCCATCCCAACAACCCACACTCTTTCGTTTCTAAAAAACTACTCATCCACTTATTTCAATCCACTCGTTCCTCTTTCTATTGCTCTTATCCGCTCGCCTGTCGCCTCCGAACGCACGGCTGCCTCTGAGGCGTAGCGCGTGGCTGACTCCGAGGTGCATCGCTTGGCGCAGCCCGAGGCGCTTCGCTTCGCCGCTAGTCTTGCTGTGCACGGCGTCGGTTGATGCCTTTTTGAGCGTGGCGCTTATCTTCCGGCCCGTTCAGGCGCGGCGCCCTGCTGTCCTTCCTAAGTCGCGCGGCCGTGGCCTCCCCGCCGCTCGTGCGGCTGATGCCTTCCTTCCACGACATGCAACCACTATCGCCGGCCCGCCACGTAAAAGCGTCGCCAAGCTGCTGCCTCCAGTGAACACCACACGCTAATGAGCCTCCATTCTACCGAGCAGCAAGGAGATGTTTCGTTGAAAGCGCATGTCGCAAGAGTATGTTTCAATGATTTCAGATGTTTCAGAGGTATGTTGCAAGTGTTTCATATGAATGTTGCAAAAATAGATCGTGATGTTGCACATGTTGCAATGGTTATACACATATATTGTAAGCGTCCGTTCCAAATGTTTCATTTGTTTTTTCAGACGTATGTTGCAAGTGTGCTTATTTGGATGTTGCATATGTTTCACATATATGTTGCAATAGTATGCTCGAAATGCTTCAGTTGTTTCAGTCTTATGTTGCAATAAGTGTTTTCATATTGCAAGTTGCAAGTGTTTTATCTGGATGTTGTATTTGTTTCACACACATGTTGCAAGTGTATGTTCCAAATATATTATTTGCTTCAGACGTATGTTATATTCAAGTGTTTCATATTACCAGTGTTTCGTGTTTCAGATGTGTATGTTCAGAGAGTCATGGGGGCATGGCCCGGGTGTAGGGGAAGGGGGGCGGGCCGGTGGATGGGGCGTGCTCGTCGTCATCCGGCTCCCGGGGCCCGCCCGCGCTAAGAGAGAGGAGGGGTCAGGGGAAGGAGCAGCACGCACGGGGCGGGGCGAGACGGACGAGGGAGGGGTATGCGTGTGTGGTGGGACGAGACAGACGGTAAAGGACTGGACTGGGAGTACGGCGCGTTTCTGCTGGGCCGTTCGATATCCCATTGAAACGTCCGGGCGCTAACAATTTGTTACTTTTCTCGGTGGGGACTGACATATTCAATATGTATTTTTTATTTTGACATAATGATAAAAAAGGTCTAGTACATATATTTCTTTTTTTTTGTTCATTGGTGAAACCAGAACTCTGCATACAATTTCACTAGTACTCCGGTACATCAGTAAATCAAAAAAATAAAAAACTTGTTGGTTTTCAGAATTGAAAACTCGGAACTACAGTACAACAGTACTACTACTCCGTATTTCACTGGGCACATCTACGTTATTCTGAAAAAAAAAAGCCTGCGCGCCATACGTGTCCCACGTACACGCGCAGAGACGACGTGTAGTAAGTACCCAGTTACTGAGACTTTTCACTGCTGCGACTGCGATAACGTCGCATTGACGGCCGCCTTGTACCTGTCGAAGTTCTCGGTGAAGTAGGCGAGGAGCTTCTCCCGATCCGGCATGCACGGCTTGAGATCCTCGCAGGCGCAGTAGTCCCTGCTCCACCGGCACAGGTTGGGGTGCTCGTCCTCGCTCAGCAGGGTCACTCCGTTGAGCTCCTCGATGACGCTGCGCCAGAGCGCAAGCGCGGAGGCGGCGACGTCGAGGTATCCCGGTCTGTCACCGGCGAAGAACTTCTTCCCCTCGAGGCGCCTCCAGCAGCGCCACGAGCTCCTTGGCCTCCTTCTCGAACCGCAGCCGCGCGTCGCCCTCCTCCACCCAGATCGCCATGAAGAAGGGCTTGGTGAGCTTGTTCTCGATGAAGTCGGCCCAGGAGCAGGCGGTGGCGCGGTCGTAGGGGTCGGCGGGGAGGAGCGGCGGCCCGTCGAAGGCCTCGTCGACGTACTCGGCGATGACGAGGGATTCGGAGATGGCCCTGTCGTCGCCGTGGAGGAGCACGGGCACCTTCTTGTGGACGGGGTTGTGGTGGAGCAGCAGGTCGCTCTTGGTGCCGAAGAGGTCCTCCAGGATGAGCTCGTAGGCCACGCCCTTGAGGCACAGCGCCGCCTCCGCGCGGAACGCGTACGGGCTGCCGAAGAAGCCGATCAGCTTCACCAGCGGCGGCGGAGACGACATGTCCACCTTGCTAGTTGCTGCTTCCTACTAGCTACTATTCTTGCTCACTTGCTGCTATCCTGGCCAAACAATCCTAGATTTATGGCCACATGAGCAGATCAGGAACCATCGAGTGCCATAACTGATTGCCTGGCATAAGCAATGACCTCAGCATAGATCTGAGGGGTTTTTTTTAATTCCTTCCATTTTGTTAAGCAAGCTTCAGCGGTTCCATAGTTGAAAGAAAAAAGTTTCAGTTCAGTGGCTGACCCACCCGGTCGCTTTTGGTGGACTCTGGTGGCAGCTTCAGACATTTTTTTGTTTTTTGATAAGCTTCAGATGTTTCTTGTCACCCACGTTCGTTCCACCACTTATGTTATTTCAGCGCATGCCACGTGTGATTCTTGCACCCAATTAGTTCCTGGCTTACTGCTGCAACCTTGCATTGGACAGCGTTTTGTACTTCTCCTTGTTTTCAGTGAAGTAGACGACTAGTCGGTCTCTGTCCGGGACGCACTGCTTCAGAGCTTCGCAGGAATTGTACTCCTTGGACCACCGGCGTAGAGCAGGGTACTCATCTTCGTCAACCACCGTCACTCCATTCACCTCCTCCAGCACGCTGAGCCAAGGACCCAACTCACAGGCGGCTACGTCCAAGACCCGACGGTGTTGCCCCTAAAGAACCTCTTCCCGTCGAGCTGCGCCTCCAGAAGCGCCAGGCTCTGCTTGGCCTCTTCCACTAGAGCCTTCTGCGCCTTGCCCTCTGTCCAGTGTGCCAACCAGAACGGCTTGAGGAGCTGTTCAGCAGCAGGTTCAGTAATTAAAACTAGCAGATGTTTGAGATGTCACGAGAACCGTCTTCTTGGATCAGATGATTACCTTATTGTCCACGAAGTGTGCCCAAAAACGGGCCATGGCACGGTCGTAGGGGTCGGTCGGCAAGAGAGGCGGCCCGTGGAAGGCTTCGTCCACGTACTCAACGATGACGATGGACTCACGATCGCCCGGTCGCCATGGAGGAGCACGGGCACCTTCTTGTGGACAGGGTTGTTGGCGAGCAGCAGCTCACTCTTGTTGCTCAGGCCTTCTTGGATCAGCTCATAGCGCACGCCCTTGAGCTACAGAGCAACCTCGACGCGGTGCGAGAACGGGCTGCGAAATGGCCGATGATCTTAACAGGTGGACACATATCTCTGCTAGTTAGTCCTTGCTTGCTTCTTGGAGAAACTTACTAAACATGTAAGCCATTCCTATAGTTATAGGAGAAATGCAAATGCCTGGGTCACATCGATATATTAGTCAAAGGTTGGTGGGCTGCTGTTTCTGCAACTGCAAGAACATCAAAGCTGTTCTCGACTTCTCGTTTCTGGTACTGAAGAAGTCACTTTGGCTGCTTCACTCCACTGACTAACTTGAGAAATTCCCCCCTGTCTCTTGGCGTGTAAAACTCACTAAACATCGTTGAATGCAAACCTACAGGTGGAGCCGTGTTAGTCAGAGAGGTTTGGTTTACCTATAAGCTAGAGTAAATCACCACACAGTCACAGCGCAAGCTGGTCGGGCCGGGAGCTAGAATGAACCATATATCTGCCATAAGCAGTGACATCAGTATGTAGTGTGTGGGCGTTTTTTTCTTCCGTACGTAGCTCAGCAAGCTTCAGTTTGGACCGGGGAATTTCTTATTTACAGCTTCCAGTTTGTACAGTTTTAAAGGCAAACGTCATTTGAGTAAGAAATTTCAGGTCCCTGGCTATCCAATCTGGGTTGGGAAAACTTTCAGTTTATAATTGACAAGTTCTATGTGGTTTGGTACCCATATACAAAGGTGTATATTTCTGAAAACAAAAGTAAATATCCATAAAATATAAGGAAGGTATATATTTTTCATATTTTTATATAAAACAAATTTTCAAGACAAACCTAGCTACTTATATCACACCAAACATTTAAAATGAATACTAAAAAACATCCTTGAAATGTTGACTTCAGATAACTTCAAAGGATCACATTTAATTTTGTTCTGCACAGTGCACACACCGTTTGTGATTCGATCCATACATTATTCCTCACATAAAGTCATGCATGCCCTTGTATTGCACCCAACTACTGCTGCAACATTGTCTTGGCCATCATTTTGTACTTCTCCTTGTTCTCAGTGAAGTAGGCGACGAGTCGGTCCCTGTCCGGGTGGCAAGGCTCGAGAGCTTCACTGGAACTGTACTCCTTGGCCCACTGGCATAGAGCGGGGAACTCGTTGCCGTTCACCAAGGTCACTCCAGTCACCTCCTCAAGCACGCCGATCCAAGGACCTAACACACACGCAGCAATGTCGAGGTAGCCCGGTGTGTCGCCACCAAAGAACTTCTTCCCGTTGAGCTGCGCTTCCAGGAGCGCCAGGTTCTCCTTGGTCTCCTTCACCACAGCCTTCTGCGCCTCGCCCTCCGACCAGTATGCCAGCCAGAACGGCTGGAAGAACTGTGTTCAGTAAAACCAGCAAATGTTCAGATTCCATAAGAACAGAACAGGTGAGGCCAGCAGGTTCTCTAAAGTAACAAACAAATGCAGCAGCATACCTTGGTGTCCATGAAGTTGGTCCAGAAACGGGCCATGGCACGGTCATAGGGGTCGGCCGGCAGGATAGACGGCCCGTCGAAGACCTCGTCGATGTACTCGACGATGACTAGGGACTCGCAGATGGCCAGGTCGCCATAGAGGAGCACGGGCACCTTCTTGTGGACAGGGTTCTTGGCGAGCAGCAGCTCGCTCTTGTTGCTCAGGTCTTCTTGGATCAGCTCGTAAGGCACGCCCTTGAGCTGCAGAGCGGCCTCGACGCGGTGCGAGTATGGGCTCGCGTAATGGCCGATGATCTTAACAGGTGGAGACATGTTTCTACTATTAGTTGGATGGTTCTTGGTTGCTGCTATCTGCTTGGACAAACTTACTGAACCATTCCTATTTATAGGAGAGAACCCAATATCTACTTGGCTTCTTCTACAAGAAGTTGGAGCACTCTACACAACCATCAGAATATCTGATCCTGAAAGAAGTTGCTTGGTTATGTTCCTTCAGTCCACACAGTAACATAAAAAATGGTTGTCCTGTTCGTTTGGCTGATAAGCAGCTCGCTGAAAGTACTATTGGCTGATTTGTCGTGAGAGAAAAATACTGCTGAAAAAGTACGGATTATAAGCCAAGCGAACAGGACGTGCTTCTATTCCTTGGCCCCATAAACATCGCCGAATGCAATTAGTCCATGATCACTTGGATTGATGCAGCTGGAGTGAATGAGTCAGAGAGATCTTAGTGGCGTAAGATCTGGAGCTATAATGAGCCATGTGCCTGGCATAAGCAGTGACCTCAGCATATCCATAGGTCATATACGCGGGCATTTTTCTTCGGTACATAGCTGAACAAGTTTCAGTTTGGGCATGTGAACTTGCTTCAGTTTCAGTCTGCAGCGTCGTAAGGGCGAACATCATTCCAGCAAGAAATTTCAGGTTCTGACCTTTTCAATTTGGGTTAGGTAAACGTTCAGTTGAGATTTTCAAAATTCACTACGCAGGCTTTGAACTTCCGGTCCAAAGCATAAAGATATCTGACAACAGTGAATATGAAAATTTCGTTTCAACTTTGAAGGTTAAGCTTCCAATTGAAAAACAGGGGAAAGGATTCTGAGCCTTAAACTTTGAAAAAAGATCATCTGTTTTTACAAGCGTGGCTACGATTTCGCGGGTGTGAATCGGCAGCTGCGGCAGCAAAGTGGAGGAAGGAAGCAGAGAGGGATGAGAGAGTATGGTCCGTCAGATCAGCGGTGGCGGCGGCGTCTGATTCGCATGGACGAGATGAGGGCGTCAGCCGTGAGGCGAGAGCGGTGACTGCGCGCCGAACAGGGAAGAAGAACGCTCCAACGGACTTTGGTTGACTAGGGTCAAAAGATTATTCCAATCCAAGAACATCATTATCCTTACACCTTACTAGTAACAGTCTTCTACCATACTGATTTCAGAGTTTGGCCACACGTTAACATTTGTTCCTTTTTGGCATCGCCTCGCCGGCCGAACATCTCACTTTTGCGAAGCAGGCTGCCGGCGGCATGTCCCGGAACATGTCCTTGCACGCTGCGGAGTACATGGCGACGAGCTCGTCCCTCCTGAGCAGGCACTGCTTGACCATCTCGTCGTCGACGTAGCGCTCCGACCACCGGCACAGCGCGGGGTACTCCTCGTCGCTGAGCAAGGCCGGCGCCACCCGCCGACCTCCTCGAAGACGCCGAGCCAGTGAGCCAGCGAGCCAGCGGGCTGGCGGCAATGTCGACGAGGCCGACGGAGTCGCCGCCGAAGCGCGTGCCCTTGTCCCTGAGCTGCGCTTCCAAAAGCGACAGGCTCTGCTTCGCGACCGCCAGGATGCGCCGCCGCGCCTGCGACGACGACTCGCCGTCGGCGTCGGGCAACAGCAACGACATCCAGAACGGCCGTGGGAACTGCAGTTCATTGATTTAGGCTCTGGAATGTATGGCAGAGAAGCAGTCAAGTGCTCCTTTCAAGTTTCAATTAGAGATAAGGAGATTTGTTTTGTTGGCCTGGCTCATTGATTTTGTTCCCTGTTTTGATTATTCAACCATGTTTATCATCCCTGGATTAAGGCACCTGGTTACAACTCTATCGTGTCATCATGATATCATCTTGTCTCAAAAAACCAGACGTTTGACTAGAAGAAGATAAAAACAGAAGAAAGAAAGGAAAAAAGCTCTGAATTCTCGGAGAGAAAGCAGCACACTGATTATGGTATGGCTACTTCAAATCAGTATCTATGGGCGCCGCCACCCGGCCCTCCTGCCGGTGGACCCCTACGGCCGCGCCATGATGGCTCGTTTCTCGGCGCACTTCATCGATCACAAGGCATCTTAACTATATCCTGGCCATGTTTAGATTGCAAAAAATTGCAACCTGATGAATAGTAGCGTTTTCGTCTTATTTGGTAAATATTGTCCAATTGTGGACCAACTAAGCTCAAAAGATTCATCTCGTGATTTCCAACTAAACTGTGCAATTAGTTATTTTTTTTACCTACATTTAATGCTCCATGCAAGCGGCTAAAAATTGATGTGATGGAGAGAGAGTGAAAAAACTTGGAATTTTGATGTAAACTAAACAAGGCCCCTGTTTCTTTCTCCTTGTGGATTCCAAAGTTTCACTGATGAACGCTGGCATCGTACAAACCATCGATGCAGTACGTGCTCGAGGCCGTTATGGCTGTCGGTGTGGTCGGAGGGAGACGCGCAGGCGGAGGCCCTGAGGGAGACGAAGGCGAACCTGGCGCTCCTGGAGGCGCAGCTGGCCGAGGGGTCGGGGAAGAGGTTCTTCGGCGGCGACTCCATCGGCTACCTCGACCTCGCGGCGTGCGGGCTGGCGCACTGGCTCGGCGTCATCGAGGAGTCCACCGGAGTGAGCCTGCTGTGCGACGAGTAGTTCCTGGCTCGCGCAGTGCCTGCCGGACAGGGACCGGCTCCTCGCCTACTACACTGCCAACAATGATAAGTACAGACTGATAGCCAAAGCAAATAATGAACTGAATGTTGCAGCGGTAATTTTGTTCTTCGAATGTTTCAAAAATAAAATGTTCTTCGAGAATGTGTACGCCTTTGCAGTTTTCATGTGTCATGTACACGATGTTTTCCAATAAAAATGATATTTCTTACCATGAGAGAGATATGCACATTCACCGCTCTATCAAGTCAGATACTTCAGATTAAAAGTTTCTGCCGAAAGTGTCTATGGGTCACTTGTATATTGCACTGCGCCAATACATAAACGCCAACAACTCAACAAGGAAACACGACATGGCACTGGGTAGTGGTCCTTCGTGTAGAGAAATACTAAGCGACGTCGCGACTCGCGACGAGCTCATCTCCGCTCCTCAGGCACACCGCTCCTTGTCCTCAATCAACGAGTGCAGTAGGGCATTTGAAATGGAAAAGGCATTGAATGCATGCGGGGCACAGCCCCGATTCCCGAGAAGAAGTGGCCAATAGGGCGGCGGCTGCACTGGCATCTGCACTCCCATGGCCTCCGTCCGCTTCACCAGTTGCCAGTGTGTCCCAGCGCGAGTGCGCGACCGACTGCCACCTCCCTCCCTCGCTCCGCCAGTCAACGCCGAGCCGAGCTTCTCCTCTGCATCCTATTCCCCTGTAGCCTGTAGCCAAGACATTTGTGCCAAGCTCCAGATCGGAACGAGGGAGTCCAGGCAAGGCAGGCAGCTCCAACCCATCGGCCACCGGCCACCGGCCACCAGCGGCCAGCCGCCGCCGCGCCGCTCACCACGGCGAGCCTGTTGCGGCCACCTCGCTCCGCCGCGTCGACCTACCTCCTCCCAGCAGGTGCCTCCCCACTCCTTCCCCTTCTCTGCTTCCTGACCTCACCCGGCCTCCTCCAACCACGTTCTCTCGCATCGCACGCATCTACTTGTATGCAACTCTGAGCTCTCAACCAACCACAGGCAAAGCCAACCACCATGGCGGAAGCAGTCGTTGGGCTGTTGGATGGCAAGCTCGGCGCGGCTTTGCTCAAGGAGGCAGCAAGTTCCAGCGCGTCGCTGCTCTGCCATGAAGTTTCTGCCCTCAAGGGTATCTTCAGTCAGATCCGTGAAGCCAAGGATGAGCTTGAGAGTATGCAGGTTTATCTGAAAGGGGCGGAGCGGTTCAAGGACACTGATGAGACCACCGGCCTCTTTGTCGAGAGGATCAGGGGCTTCGCATTTGAGATCGAGGATGTTGTCGACGAGTTCACTTACATGCTGGAGGACAAGCACGGAGGATTTGCTGCCAGGACGAAGAAGAGGATCAAGCATGTCGAGACTTGGCGCCGGCTTGCGCGCAAGCTACAAGATATCAATGGTAGGCTCCAAGGAGCTAAGCAGAGGAACCAGCAGTACGCCATGACACAAATGGGCAGAAGTGCTGGAGGTGGTGCTTTTCATGCTAGTCAAGCCTTGAATTTCACCAGGGATGAGGACCTTGTGGGGATTACTGAGAACAAGGAGCGATTGACTCAGTGGCTAGCTGGCGATTTAGAACATAGATGCAAAATTACCACTGTTTGGGGCATGCCTGGTGTGGGAAAAACAACCTTGGCTGCTCATGTGTACAAAACCATCAAATTGGACTTTGATGTTGCCGCGTGGGTTACCGTGTCACAAACTTATGATGTTCAAGAGCTACTGAGGAATATTGCTAGAGAGTTTGGCATAGAAGCTGATGTGGCCAACATGGAAAAGGAAAGAGTAGCTGAGACCATCAATAACTACCTCCAAGGTAAAACCATCAAATAGAAGATGATGTTTGGACTGTTGATGTCTGGTCAGAGATAAGGACAGTTTTTCCATCCAATTGCATTGGTCGATTTGTTATCACATCGAGAAAGCGTGAAGTATCATTGTTGGGAACCAATAATTCAGCTATTCACTTGCATCCACTTGAA